TACCGAAGCGCCTGCGCGGGCTGCCTGCTGCGGTGGGGGCGGGGCTCAAGCCTCTAAAGCCCCGCGTCGGGCTCCCTCACGGGCCCCAGGCTGCCGACCCCGCTCTAAGCCGGGGCGAATGTGAGTAGTTTTAAAACGCCGGCGCGGGCGCACATACATTCTCCCGCGGGTGCCGTGTTGGGGACCACGGCAGTAGACTAATGCTTACCAACCTTTTACAGAATGATTTTGAAGCTGTGGATGAAAAGTGCAAAGAAGTGTTAAATTCCACACAAGTTGCTTTAAAACCATAATGTGCAAAGACTTATACCAAACAGCCTCTCATTTTCTGTTCATGTGGTTTTGTGTGATGCAATTCCACATTCTTGTCATAAATCATAAGTGTGCTTTTTGTTCTTCTGTGTAAGATTTGTAGACTCCTTTCTTAAAACCATATCACCCTCCTTTGTGTGCTTAAGTGTAATGGCCAGAAATATTCTTTTTGATTTTCAGTTGCAATTTCTTTTCTGTTGTAATGTTGACTGTCTTTTTACAGAATCTGCTGTGAATGCATTGTCTATTAATGGTTCAACTCGAGCTCCAAGGCGAGGTCAAAACAGGACTACACGTACCTCAAGACAAACTGACATTGACACAAAAGTTATTGAAGTCCTTTGTAAAGAGCATGATTGTAATTTAGATGAGGTAAGATTTGTGATTTTTTTTTTTTTTAAATTCACCATCTTAGATCTCAGTGTAATGTCAATCGAGCGAGGTGAAATCCAAAAATATGATTAAAACCTTAGGCAGTAGTAAACCATTTTTAAAAAATGTTTTGACCTGACTGTCAATCCGTTTTAGTCCCGTGATTAGTAGCACTATCCCTGTCCCAAGATTTCTTATTTAAAAAAAGAAAGATTACGCTTTTGCTATTAGAGTGCATGCAGTTGGTATTTACATGGGGGAGACTATGAAATAAAGCATCTAACTTGTTTTTTCTTCAAGTGTTCAACATGTGGATTCTACTCATGCTGTGCCCCACTGCAACAGCTTAGAATGTTCCCTATAGTAGCTCCCCATAAGGGTTGTGCTCTCCTATCCAAAGGCATATCAAGCTCAACCACTCCAACTGCCATTCATTTAATTTGGACAAACCTGACCCTGGCATGTGGAACAACAATGATGTTCTATGTATAGTTGCTTGTTAGGATAGTTTACTATTGAGCTATTGTTGCTTTAGTGTTTACTAGTGTGTGTTGCTACTATTTTCAAAAAAATTTTTTTTGTTCTAAGTCATTTTAGTAGATTTTTAGTTGCATTAACAGTTGAAATCCCTAGGCTTTTAAATTATGCACAGGTGGGGCTTTCCCTCTAACAGATAGGTGTCTTTACCTCCCAGGAAAAGACTATGTTGAGTGTGCAGTCTGCAAATCTATTGAGAAATGCACTGACAGTCCAGGTTAAAGCTCTTCCTTATAGAAAAGTCTGTGAACTCTTTGGATTTTGAACAGAGTCCAGAAAGTACTTCTGTACCAGCACAGTCTGAGTGCTCTTTGGTTACCAGGCATGGAACTCTTAAGTTTAAGAGGAATATGGGGAGGCTTCCCAAACGCTTGGAGCAGTCAGATCAGCGCTGTCTAGCAAACATTAAACTGTTGCTCAGCACTGCTCCCTATCTACATTACCTGATGGTAGATAGCTTTGCTTGAAGCCAGCGCTGAGGAAGACTGTGGTGGAGCCTTCAGTGCTGCATTAATATAAGAGGCACTCACAACAGAGGGCTCCTGAAGAAGGGAAGAAATTCTAAAACCAAAGCTCATCAGTTTCACTCCTCTTAAGCTCTTGATTGTCAGTTGCACTCTGCTCTGACTCTGGCATTTTCAAATTCCTTCAGAGTTTTCAAAGCCACTAGGAGCATGGGCTTCCTTAGCAATTTGTTCCTGCTTGAGATCTCTTGGATTTGTTCATTTGCCCTTGAGTTTACAGGATGCTTATTTTCATGTGTTTGATATGCCCTGCACATAGCCACAAATCAAAGATTTCTTTGGTTAAACCACTTTCAGTTCTGAGTACTTCCCTTTTGGAATTTCTTTCATTGCTTGAGTGTTCACCATTTGTTTCCCCATAGTAGCAACCTATCTAAGTAAACAAAGATTGCACATTTACCTTCATCTGGGTGATGGGCTTATATGAGAAAGCTCTTGAATAGGTGAGCTTAGCAGTGTGAAAGGTTCTGTTTTCATCCTTAGATTTGAAAATCAATTTTTTATAAATAGAATCTAGTTCTGGTTTAGTTGGAATGTGTAAAGCTCAACTAGATTCAATAGCAACAACTTAATGTATTCAACAGACTATAAAAAACTTGTTACTTTCCCAATGCAGTCACACTCAGGCATCAGTGAAGATATTACACAACACCATGTGGTCTAGAAGTTTGTGAATCTGTGATTTAGACCTTTTTCAAACTTTGATTAAGACAATATACAAACCAGAAATGCCTAATGTGACTTGGACTCCTCTAACTTTCAATAATGAATTTTAAACTCTTTGACGTGATGGTACAATACAAAAATGCGAATACCATTTTCTGTTCCAATACCACCCACAAGTCTGACAGCTTTATCAAGGCCTGGGGAGCACATACAAGTCTGATGCAGATTCAGTCTTGCATTTTGGGGATACTCCTAATACATAATATTTGAGTCCAGCTAGAAAGTCATTCCTACCACAGATGAGAGTCTTTCATTTAAATTCTCATGGACAACTGCAGAGAGGAAGCCACTACATAAGCAATGAGATACAAGGTCTGATCTATGTCAAGAAGCCACAAATTTGCAGGAATGGTGTGTCCAGAATCGTATCAGTTTGACAATTACTTTATTTTCCAGGAGAGAACAGTGGCTTAGCTAATTCACTAAGCAGAAAAAAATGTCTGTTTCATTAGCAGAGGTAAATTATTAATTACTGGACCAAATCTTCTGAAGGTGGGTGTGTTTTTCCAGCTAGACCTGTGGCTTCAAAGCATTTGTTTCTTTCTCAGGCAGGAAAGAGTCTGGGATCTGTAGTGGATGCTTTCATGATTTGCTGGTTGCTCCATTTGTTGTATGCCTTGCATCAGTTTTCTTCTAAGTCCAAAAGTGTTAAGGAAGACAAGGCAAAGATTTGAGTTTAGCTTCTGCTTACCCCTGCCAGTTCTGGTTTTTGTAATTCCTGATTTTGTTCGAACATCAATTTATCATGCTTCAATTTCAGTACAACATGATATTGCAAAAGCAGTTTAGTTTTCCACCCAAATCCAGCATGACTATATCTCATGGCTTGTGTGGTTTCTGGATGTCTGCATTAGGTAGATTGGATAACATTCTTCAGAAATACAGAGTACCTTACTTCAGAGCAGGAAATAGTCTACAAGAACTACATATACCCTTAAGGAGATATGCTTCCATTTTGGGCAATAGTTAAGGTTCATATTACTACTTAGTACTCTATTCCTGAAATCTTAAGTTGTTACTTTGCAATCTGCTTCTTCAATTAAGGTAGATTTGGCAGTGAGATCAGCATTTCATCTCCCTATAGCAGATTTGAGAGAACTGTTTTTTTTTTCCTCCTATAAAAAGATTGCTCCAACATGGGATTTAAATGTGTCCCTCTCGCCTTTCCTCCAGTGGAGTATTCTTTTGTATCCATATCAATCTGTCCTATTCACTGCTCATAAATTAAGGTGGCATTCTTAGTGGCAATTACCATAGCCTATAAGATAAACAAATTACAAACATTAATGATCAACCTTCCTTATACAGTTTTTCATATGGACAGGGTAACAGATGTCATTCATCTTTCATTTCAAATATATTATTGTACTTCCGTATCAGTTTATTCTTGTATCTATTTCCTTTCCAAGACCTTATTAGTCTCCAACTGAAGCTAAGTTCCATATCCTGGATAGAACTAAATCTTTGTGTAAAACTTCAAGACTTTTTATTGATTATGCTAATAAATGGAAGGGAATGGTTGCTTCATCTCACTTCAAAACCTGCATCTGATTGTATTTGCTGTGTGTGTAGATATTGATATCCCTTTTAAACATTTTGGCTTGTTCTACCATATTACAAGTGACATCTGTGGCATATCTAAGTCAAATACCATTTCTGGAGATCTCTAGGGCAGGCAGCTATCTGGAGCTTGGGCCCTGCATTTGCAAAAATGTTGTTTGTTAGTGAATGTGTCTAGTATAAATGTCCATTTTGAAAGGATGGTTTTACAATGCCTCCTCCCCCTTCTCCCTAAATAACTTTCCTCCTTTTAAGGTTAATTCTGGGTCATCAATAAGAATGGGACCTACATATGCAGTACAAAGGAGGATAACGTGATGTTCAAATAGTAACTAAGATGTCTGCTTGTGTGGTTCCCATACCCTACTTTGCTTTCACTGGTGCTTTAGAGTCTTAATTTTATTTTGGGTTCTGAGTAGTGAAGAAACTGAGTGAAATTGGGAGGTCTCTGTTCATGGGGAGCATAAGTAGTGTGAACACGACTTAAGGGATTCTGACACTGGAAACATTCTAAACTACTGTGTTGGGGCACTCTCATATACTGCAAATAAGATGCACATGTGAAGAACTCTTAAAGAACCACAGATGTAAGAGAACTGTTTGTTTAATCAGCATTAAGCATGTAAGAAGGATATGAGGCTGTACAGATATTCATATGAGCAGAAACCAAAAAGACTATTGTTCAAAAGAGGGCCACCCTTTTGACCCTTCAGTTTCCTAGCAGTGGATGTAGAAATGCATACACATTTAGTAATTAACTTAAATCTTCAGATGTGTAGATGGCTTGAAAATAAATACTAGCTGAGGTAATTTCAAAATAGCTTATAATAAGCGTAACATAGTCAATTTATTTTACTGTATAGTAAAAATGTAATGTATGTTTGGTACCTATGTACGTTGGTAATGTTATGCCATTTTAATTTTTCCAGGTAAAAAATGTATATTTCACAAACTTTATTCCGTTCTTGAATTCTGTTGGTGCTGTAACTTCAAATGGACTCCCAGAGGTAATTAGAGTAATTAAAATAGTTAAATATATTGTGGTTCATTCTAAAATGTTTAAGATTGCATAAGTATTTTTTCACTGTATTGCAGTTACAGTGGCAACTTTAGAATACGCCTATAATGGATTACGGTGTGATTGACAAAAATTAACTTAATATGATTTCCAAGCATCTTGATAAGTCTTTTCTTTAAGAATCATCTTAATATCAGGTATAAAGATTTTTTTTTAAAATTTTACCTCAACTTTAATAATGAACACAAGTGTTGATGAACTTGTGTCAAGGTTATTCCACACTCTGGCACGAATGCAGAAGTGGGGGGCCTGCAAAAGCAACCAAAAACCTGATTTCTACAGCCTTGGGTACAAGAATTCTCCCTCTTCCCTCTCCCCCAAAATCCTAATACCAGAATTTTGGGGAATCCACTGCCACTGTCAAGTGCTCTTGAACTGACACACAGGAGTAGACAATTGAAATCAACCCCAGGGCACCCCAAGCTCTTTTCTCCAAAGAGCTTGAAAAGAAAAGAAAAAAAAATACAAGCTGCAGTCTGTGATTACTGTACCCTCGTCAGAGACCTGCAGATCCCACAGACAGATTTTCCAGGCACAGAAATGAATCAATACCGGGTAAATTGGAAAAGAAATAACTTTTATTATTAAAACAATATCCCAGTTACAAGCATCGTTGGAATGGTTAGATGGTAAGAGCCACCAATTAATATACTCATGGAGGATTCCCATGGGCTCAGGACTTAGTTGCAAAAAAGAGGAAAAACCATTTCTAACAGCACACACATCAGATCCAAATTCCCAAAACAGAAAACAATAAAACCTGATGGATTTATCTAGACTTTACCCTACTTACACATTATGAAGTCTTTTTTTTTGGGGTGGGAGGAGACATGTCTTCTGTCTCCTTTAGTATCTAGAGAGCAAACTCTGGCTCAGAGACAAAAGGGAAAAACCCAAAAATTCATTTCTCAGTTTAAATCCTTACCTGCATTTCTATTGGCTGAGCAGATACCTGGCTAGGTCCAGGGACATAGTTAACCCCATAGTCCCTAGGCTGCTGGCCAACCCTCATGGTTGACAACTTGTTACTCTTCTCAAAGCAATGTATAATTTTAAACAATGCTTCATTCCTTTGATTTCAGTGGGCTATTCACTTCTTTTAATGCTACAGCAATATAAAGACTGAAAATCAAGCAAATCTACCTACAATTATTTCGGTACCTTCTCAACTTTAAATTCAATCCAACCTGGTTAATCTGCTTTTACAGACATAAATATCCTTAAGATTTAAGCTGTACTCTTGCACTTAAGTAAACTGTGGACTGCTGTACTTTGTGGCATCCCATTCACTTCATTGCAGCTTAGTGTGGGTGCAGCAGTCTACGTACGTGCCTTACAGTTGCTGAATTGTTCATTAGGGTCTCCGGCTGAACTTCCAGCCACATTCAGGCAAAGTTAGACTACATTGTTCCCAACTGACCGGTTAAAGAAGCTTCCCTCATCCAGTTGTTTAACTATTACTAGTTCTGCATTAATCTCTTATGTACAACATTTTATCAAAACCACTTGAAAAACATTATCGCCTGGATGTTGTGGGTGAGAATTGCAGTTCTTTGAAAGTACCCTTTTATACAAGATTCTAATTTTACCTTCTTTAAAAATATCCTCTTCTCAGCAGTCTGTCTTCAAAAGTAAGGAACTCTAGAGATATGCCAAAATACAAGGCTATACATAGTGCAAAAGACAATGGTCAAATGAAAGCCTGTACAAAACCAGAAACACACATTTCTCTTAATTTTCAGCCTTAGTTGTAATATAGAATCTAATATCATGTAATGTGTATCATTCAGCTTTATTATAAGAAAGTCACTCTCATTTTCATGAATAGCCTTTTAGCATTCAATATATAAGTATTTAGACTCTAACAATACTAATCCTAGGGAATTTTGCTTACTTTTGAAAAAAGGAATGTTAATGCTGAAATTCCCCATAGGTATACATGTTCCATTCGTGGACTTAATGATCTCTCAAGGTCCCTTCCAGTTCTATTTGTCTATGATTCTATATGTGTAGTAAATGCGGGCATTGGAGGTGAATTCACACTTACGGCTGCTGTTTTTGGTGAAGACTTATTCTAAGTGAACAAAGCAGCAGTAGCAGCAGCTAACTGATTTATGTTGTAAAGCTGATTTGATGAAATGGAAACCTTTTTTTTAAACCCTAATTTTCAGAAAATTGTGGGGTATTAAGTACTTTCCTGCCAAAAGACACATGTTGAACAGGAGGCACTGCCAGGCATTCTGGAGCCCCAAACATAGGAACCTGGGAGATCTGAATTATGTCTGTGAACTTGAGACGGTTTTTCCCTGTCCAGCCAGACTCTACTCCCACAGCACAATTACAAATGCCACTTATTGTAGGCAAACCGCTCCCTCCCTGTAACAAGAGTTTGCCTAGTTCAATGATTTCAGCTATTTTCAGAGCACCATGCGCTTTGTGGAAATGTGAGCTCCAAATGTAAATTTTTCCGTCTTGGCATTAGATTCCATGCTACTAAAATCAGTGGGCATAGGATCTGTCTTTGAGGGGGATATTTATCTCTTTGTTTTTAGTGTTTTGATATCTATAGTGACATGACTTTGGGGGCTATGAGAGTTGTCATAATATATTTTAATATAGATATTTAATTTAGAATGAAACTTTCCTATCCTTTGATCACGAATGCAATTTTGAATACATTGTCAGAATTGATCTTATAAGCATAAAGCTTTCTCACTTTTTTAGGTTGAGGATCTCTCCAGACAATATGAAGAGCTTTACCTGAAAAATAAAGATATAGATGCACGATTATTTCTGGATCATGATGAAACTTTACAGCTTCATCACATAGAAAGGTAACACTTTTCTTAATTCTGAGATACATAATGAAAATCCTAAAAGGTTTTACTGGTCTCTAGTCACTTTTTACAACAGAAATTCAGGACCAGTCTTGCCTAAAAATCTTTTTTTTTTTTTCTCTTCCTTTCTGCTTATTAGTCAGGTAACACATTTTTAATCATGGCCTTGGTTTGTCTAAATTACGTGCTAACTGGTATTTAAAAACATGTTAACATGTTAGCTAACATTTTAATTATGGTTATTTTCCTATTCTGCACAAGTCTTTGGAGTCAAAAGTGAAAGTTGAGCAATTGAAAGAGGAATGGATTCTCAGGGGCTGTCAGGGCCAACTCACAATATTTTGGCACCTGAGGCAGGGAGCTCAAATGACACCCCTGTGTCCCGTCACTGCACCAGCAGCAGACACAATTTTCTACACCCTGGGTCTTAGTGGCTCCCCTTCCCCCCACACAGTCTCGCACCTGAGGCGTCTGCCTCAGTTTGCCGCATGGTAAGGCCAGCCCTAATGGTTGTCTATATTGCCCTACAGTTTGGCCTACAAGAATGAATGTACACCAGCATGGCAACATAATTCCTCCATGGGACACTTCAAGAATAAATTTTAGTTCATGCTTACAGCACCCACACCAGGGATTTATAGTGCAGCACTAAGATGAACTGCACGACAGTGAGGACAAGACTTAATCACACTGTCTCTGACTTGTTAGTTAATTCCTGTTGAACTGCAGTGGTTAGTATTTTGGAGGAAGGATATCTTTAAAGATTCAGCACCTCTTTTTCTTTGGAGGTGAGAGCTTGAAAGGAGTGGGTGTGCCTCAAAAAAGCACATGTTTAACATGGACTAAATTGATATAGTTAAACCAAGGGAAATCCTTAGCAGTTGTAGACAATCAGTTTTAATCTGTTATCTATTTTGCTTAAATTAGTAATTCAGATAATGAACAATGGAGAACTGCTGAATACTGAGCTCTCCTGAAAATCTGGTGCATAGATATTTTTTTAGGAGTATTTAAGTCATTTTAGAAAACTTTTTAACTGAGACTTGCTATATTAGAACATCAGTACTTCATAAGGTTTTGTCTTTCTACAGTTCACAGTTGGAGCGAACACCAAGGAAAAACAACCCAGATGAAGAGCTTAATTTTATACTTCCACAGACTCCAGTTCGGTATGAAGCAGTTTAAAAATTTGCATCAATTTGTTTTTTACTTGAATTGGAATTTTCTAAAATTTGTTGAACTGAAGAATGTAGCATTTTTTAAAAAAAGGCCCCATTCCTGTAAGGTGCTGATAGCCTCCTGAGAAGCACTGAATGCTTTCAACTCCCATTTTCCTTGAAATCCGTGGGACTTGATGGTGGTTGGGTAGCTCTGAATACATTGTAGGTTTAGTACCCAGAATATAAAGGAAGCATGAGTTATGTGTAATAGTTATAGATAAGTGTGAGAATGTATTTCCTTAAATATGCTGCTCATTATTCCATTCTCTCCATCACCAGCGTGCACTTTAATAAAACCATTAAAGTTTTTTGATTGTTCAGTATTCTTGGGGAGAAAATGTCAAGTATCATGCATTTGCTTTCATTTTCACATTCTGGTAAAGATACTGCAGACCAGAAATAAGTCCTTGCTACCCTTTACTGCTGCAGAGCCTGTATAATTGCAGGAGAGAAACTGGATACTCTAAGTTTGCACATCCAAAATAAAAGCTAAATGCAGAATTGTTGTTACTTATGATTTTCTAGCCAGAAAAACTTGGCACATTCATGAAGCCTAGAATATTTCTATCTGTTCCAGTGGATAAGATGGGAAGCAGTAGCTGTCCACGTTTGCACATAGCTTTTCTGATGTATCTTTGTTATGACCTACTAAAGAACCCTTCTAGGATCAAAGGATGGAGTTGAGACTTTGTGCCTATTTAGTCCTTTGTCTTCTGAAACTACCAGATGGGTGCCAGCTGACAGTTATACAGACTTGGGCATCTGTCTGCTAGAAATGGGCTGGGGCCAGCAAGACATTTTGCATAGACTGCCAAACTGCCAGCAGATGGCAGTAAACTTTTGGTCACTTATGACCCAGAGGTGATGGTATACAACTAACTGATGGTACATAAGGGTTGCTATGAAAACTTCATTTTTACTTTTGAACTTACTGTAGATTCTTCCCATTTGACACTGTGTGTATCTGAGCTAAAGCCCAATAAAGTCCAGGCACAGCCTTTCATTAACTTGAATGGCCTTGGATCAGACTGAGTAGTGCTTTGAAAAATAGCTTTACTTAAAGGGATCGGGATTTAAATATTAGTTAGGGGCATTATAACATTGAATTGTCTGGCCTTTATTCCAGTACCTTCACATAACAATTCCTGTGCAGGCTGCTTCTTCCCATGCCTTCTTCCACCCAAACAAAATTTTTAGGCACGCTCATATCAAAATGTTTAAAAGTGGCAGAAGAAAAAGTAGTTTGTCCCTGGAGTGCCATAACCCAAGTAATCAGCACTCCTCATTCCATTCTGTCTGTGAATAAAAGCTCCCATTTCCATTTTCTCAGCTAATCAGACATTTTTCTGTAAACCCAGAGTTATACTAATCATAGATCCATTTGGAACAACTCTAGCCAGTGGGAATCAACAACAATTTGTAATAAGGTGGATCAGAAAAGATCTCTAACTGAAAGTGGGAAGCATAAAGGGAACAAGGCCTTAAAGTCTTACAGCATGTCAGAAGGACTCCTGAAGCTCATTTTCTTAGCAAGTGTTGAAAGCTGCCCAGATGTGCCCATTTACTAGAGCTGTCTTCACAATAACTGTGGAGGCCTCAGGCTCCGTAAGAGCCAGAAAAACTTAAGCAATAGATATTAGGGAAAATGGGACTGAAGAACTTCATTTAAAGCAAGCTAGCTAAATTATCTGTTGTAAGTTGTAAACCTTTGCGGTGTTATCCAATAGCTCTTACGTCCTGAATATACATAAAAGGACTGATAAAAAGTGGACAAGTAAAATAATACATTTCGTTATTGTTAGACTGATATTTGTGGAGATGTTACATTTGCTTCCTCTTCATGTAATTTTCAGTTAAATCAGGCATGCAAAGCTATTCTTGTACAAATACATTTGTATCACTCAACAAATGATGAACAAAAAACCAAGATTGGGACTGTACCTGTGTGGTTTAACGCTATAACTTTTTAGCCACTCTGGTACCTGGTATCTGCTGGGCAAATACAGTTCTCTTTGTTTCTGTTTTATAAACAATGAGACTATAGACTTTTCAGTTAAAGAACCTGACTTGCCAGACTGTCTGGCAGGCTTAAAAAGGCTTTGATAAATAGGGGTAAATTAGTAACCACAATTTCTACTTTATTTATTATGTAGCACATACTCAGTCATGAACAAGTTTCAGGTCCGGTTACTAAACTAACTTACTTACGTGGCTAAAGTTGTACAAATTATCTACACATTTTTGGATTGTAATTTGTTTGATCACTGTATTCTGTCATGGACAAGAAGCAATGGACCAAGACAAGAAGCAATGAATTTAAACTGCAGGAAGGAAGGTTTAAGTTGGATATTAGGAAAAAGTCAGGGTGGTTAAACACTGGAATAAATTGCCTAGGGAGGTTGTGGAATCTCTATCACTGGAGATCTTTAAGATCAGGTTAGACAAACATCTATCAGGTGCTTGGTCCTGCCGTGAGGGCAGGGGACTGAACTTGATGATCTCTTGAGGTCCGTTCTAGTATTCTATGAATCAGAAGTTTGCACATACCCAGATAACTACTTAAACCAGTGTGTCCCAATTTTAGTTGTCCATGGAACCCTTTTAAACTTGAAAGAATTTTGAGGAACCAGTAATATGGCTACTATATGGAGCTGAAAAAGTAGACTACAAATAAGTAAGGATAATAAACAAATGCTAAACAAGGTAATGAGATCACATTTAGTTTAATTGCATATATTTAGAAACAAAATTCACATAATTTTTTGTAAATCTCAAAGTTATTGTAATGGAATTTTCTCATAGAACCCTTATTTTCGCTTCGCAGAACCCTGGGGTTCCATGGAACACCATTTGGGAAACACTGATTTAAACCATTCTGAGTGAGCATGCTTCTCAGACCTATAATCTGCTTTGTACTATATACAAGAGGGCTGAGGGATTTGCTGAGCCCCTAGGCAAGGTTGAGGGGCCAGCCCCATGCGCTCAGAAGGGGCGGGGCCTTGGTCAGAAGGGGTGGGACTGGAGCATTAACCAGAGTGCACTTCACTGTGGCTAACCCCCTCCCCCCAAGCCAGCCCTCAGCACTGCCAGAAATGCACCACATTGCAGCCCCCCCGTTCCAGCCAGCCCCTTGAGCCACCTAGAGCAGGCTGAGCAGAGCTCTGGTGGTGATTTAAAGGCCCAGAGTTATGACTGGCTTTTTTTCAGGAAGAATGGCTCTTGCACAAGAGGGGGGTTTTGCACAACAAGCTGTATAGATGGCTCCTTTTTGCGCAAAAGCCCTTGTGCAAAATGATGGCTCATTAAATATGCAAATGAGGCATGGCAATATTCACTGCTTCTCTTCAATTGCATATTTTCTTGTGCAAGAGAGGGCAGTGTAGACATAGCCTCAGGGAATAATTATAAAATTGTTGACTGATACTGAACATATACAAAATAAACTTTAACATAAATCTTATTTTATTTTTCCAGGGCTGCAATGAATACTATCCAGCAGTTAATGATGATTTTAAATTCAGCAAGTGATAAACCATCAGATAATCTCATCTCCTATTTTAATGTAAGTGACTAAGTTTAATTAGAGTAGATATTTATGAGAAAATACCTATAAAATTATGTCCTTGAGATTATCAGATAGATAAAGAGCATATATTCTTTTACTAAAGGTGATCTAGAAAGGACCTCTTAAAAATAATGGGTCTTACGCCTTCTTTTTTTTCTTTATGGTTATAAAGATGCGAGAAAAATTTCTCTTCCATTTAATTTTACCCTTAGACATATTAAGAATGTCAACTATGATCTTTGTTGTTTTTGATGGAGGATAAGTTCAATATTTGTTTCAAATATCCTGATGTTCAGTGTGTTGTAAAATAAACAAGAACATAGGAATGCAACAGCACTTGTATCTACCATAACTTATAAAAAATATTAATATAAGATCTTTACTGCACGTCTTGTTAAGGACTCATGATAGTTTAAACATGTGTTAGTACAGTTCTTTTAAAGGGCACTTGTGTATGAAATTTTACAATCACATAAAATTATTTTGCTGGAAATCTTATGGTCCTTCAAGTACACCAAGATTACTTTGTTTGGTGCGGGAGAGGGGGAGCCAAATGTATTGCTAGATGCTATATTATGAACAGGAGAAATTTAGGTCCTGATTCAGCAAGATATTTAGGGTTTGTGTACATGAGGAGGAGGAAACCCAGGAATAGCTAGTGGTGAATAGCTACTGTTAACTAACTTCCCATGTGGACACTCCTATTCTGTGGTAATAGGGCCTTAGTGCAGTTTAGGTTAGGAAGTAGATTAAGCTAAAGTAGTTTTTCAGGGTTTTTTTTTTCTCTTGTGTCCATTCCAGTTGGGGGTGTGTGCGTGCCACGTGCACAGATTCCGGAGCTTTTTCCTTAGCAGTATCCATCGGGCCAGCTGAGGAGCCTCCTGGAGTGGGGATGGCATATCAGCATATGAATACCCCTGCTGGCTCTCTACCCCTTGGTTCCTCCTTACTGCCCGTTATGGTAGCTGGAGTGCTTGACTGTGTTGTTAGTCTATCCCTTAGTGTTACACATTTCTCAGTTTTAGTAGTTTAGATTAGTTAGTGTAAACAGTTTTACAGTTGATTGCTCTAATCGAGAGAAGTTTCCCTGCTTATCTCTTCCCTCCTGGTGAGGGGTTGCCTGGGCCGCAGGGCTTTAAACCTTCTATGACATACTTTAAGCCTGTGCCCTGTGGTGATCTGCATGACTTCTGTCTGAAGTGCCTGGGAGAGGGTCACTGCACTGACAGTTGTAGAATTTGTAAGAGCTTCAATCCGAGAGAAGTGGGAGATGCGGGAGAGCGATTCCTGCCTGAAGCTCATTCTAATGGAGTCTGCACTTCAACTGGTGGCACCAAGCATGCGTGGCATGCTGGCATCCATTAGAGAACTGTCTGCAACACTGGCAAAGCCCTTATCGTCGAGGCACTGGTCACAGTCCCCCAATGCTGTCGCGAAAGAGGTAGTATAGGGGAAGATCCCCAACAAAGCAAGACCTTAAAGTGTGCCACAAGGATAGGCACTTGGCTGACTTGGCGCATCAGGAGGCTCTCGGACCACAGCAGCATCGGTTGAGCTCAACGTGCGGGGAGATTACCCCACCTGAAGTGGCCATTGAGGAGGTCCGGCAGCTGTCGATGCTGGGGGCCTTTGATGCAGCACATGAGCTTATAGAGTTCACTTCATCCCCAGAACCGGTCACAAAATGCAGATGACAAGCACCGACCTCCCCCTCCAGCACTAGTGTCAGCTATCCCACTGGTGCAGCCAAGATCTCACGCGCACTGGCTCTAGGGCCCCAAAAAAGTCCACGCTCCTGCCTTTTTTGTTGTTCTCCTTCCCCGTGGGGTATGTCTGATTATCAGGGCTTAAAGAAGTCCCTTTCCTGCAGCAAGTTTAGCCCTGTTGCAGACGTTCACTCACAGTACACTGATTGCATTGGGAAAGGACACATTCCTCAAAAGTGCACTTCCTTCTAGCAGTTTAGACCTTGGTCTCACAAGGACAAAGCACTGAGGCAGAAGATCATATTTATGAAAGTGGCTCTCTGATCTCCTCTGAATCTGTGCCAAGACTCTCCATGCAGATGTACGCCAGGGAGTTAAGAAATCAGCTGCTGACCTCTCTCCAGAAGTTGAAAAAGAGAGCAGTAAGTCCCCACAGTGAGCTGCAAGCTAGCCACAAATGATACCCAGCATGCTCAATATTCTTGGTACTGTTGGTACTGAGACCGACCTTGCCTGGTACTCGCATCTCAAGAAAGACTCCAGTGACAGGTACTGTCTATGTGCCTACAGACCCAATGGGCACAGGCAGCAAGTCAACAACATGGAAGGAGAAGAGGAGGAGCAAACGCTCCAAAGCACACTGGTACGTGATATCTCATGGATACAGATGCCTCATCTGGTACCAGAACAGTCAGCGTGGACTCTCTTCTCCTGGGCATTCAGACCTCTGCACTGAGTCCCCACCCAGTATGGGCGTCTTCCCTGCTACCTTGCCACACTTCCTCACTCTCAATGCAGACTCATCCCTTCCTGCAGTTCGCTGTTTATCTCAGTATTCCTCCCAAGCCTCCAACAGTGCACAATATCAGCAGGGTCTCAGGCATATCAGGGAGATGCCCCTCCCTCTGCTGCCATCCTGGTAGGGCTATCAATCAGCAACATCACAGGCTCCATGCCATGCCATCCTAGTGGCCATACTGCCACCCTCATGCCTCTTGGGCTTCTAGTCTCACCCGTTGAGCTCCCAGGACACGCTTTTTCAACCATGATATCCAGGGCATTGGAGCCCCCAGAAAAAATCTTAGAGGAGTGCAAGGGTGCTCTCGAGGAGTAGACGATCCCAAAAACCATATACTTCTCTTTTTACAGACAAGACTGTCCTGCCTCCCCAACCATCCCTGGTGAATTATTTTTGCTTATTCCAGGACTTCACACAGAGTGTCTGTTTCTCTTCAGATACCTCTGGAGGAAGTCAGGGATATGCACCATAAGTTCCTGAACATCCTGCACGTATCTTCCTCCTCAGACGTGACCTTCGTATCAGTGAGGCCCTTCTCAGTCACACATGAATCATATTTCAGACCACAGCATCAGTCGTACTGACTTGCAAGTGAGTGGACAAAAAGTACTACGTCCTGATGAGAGAAATGGAGTTTTTCTTCTATAGCTCTCCACCAAACTGTTGTGGTGGATGTTGTCAGTTCTTATGGCTATCAATACCACATGAAATCCACATCCTAAAACAGGGATTAGAAGTGTTTCGACAGTTTTCAGATCTACAAAACAGCAACAGAATTATGTTGGTAAAAGAAACCTTTTCTTTCTAAACCATTAATGCCTTCTAATTCTATCCACATGAGTTAGGATTATCTACATCCATTTCGTCCCGTTCCGCCCCCCCCCCCCCCAGCCTGGAGCCTCCTCCCATATTCTGAACCCCTTATTTTTGGCCCCACCCCAGATACTAGCCCTGGCCAAATCTAATAGCCCTAGCCCCCCAGAAGAGTTAATGTGGCCCTTCCTGCCCTCCTCTATGATTCTCCTCCCTTCTCCCTGTCTCTGCTCCCTCTTGTGTCCTGTCCCCCATCTCCCATGGGACTCCCTCCAACCTGTGGTCCCTCATTTAATCCCTGGTTTGGGCCCAGCTGCCCCTCTTTCCTCTAGAGCAGGCATGTCCAAAGTCCGGCCCGCGGGCCAATTGCGGCCCGTCTTCCGGTTTAATACGGCCCCACAGGTAATTTGGCAATATCTATCTTTTATGGCCCCCAACGAATCCATATGTATTGAGATGAATACATTGTAAAATCTCAGTTAATGTCAGTGGGTCTAAATCAGTTATAAATATATTTGCTGCCTATGGGCTACTATGTAAGTGCAACCCACCATCCAGTAACCACCTCCCTTGGCTTTCAGTGGCCCCCCTCTTTCCCCTCCAGGCACTTGCAACCTTTCCTCTAGTAGCTGCCCCCTTTTTCCTCTTCTCCTGAGCAGTTGCCATTCTTTGCCTCCCATAGAGCCTCCCCTCCCCCCCTGCATCTCATCCCAATCCCATTACTTAGCAGTAGTGGTGGGGTTGCGGGGGGAATTGTCTCAGAAAGCATTGCCTGGACTATGGCTGCTGATCCCTTACCCCTCTCCCCACAGTATCAGGGATGCAAGTGACACTCCGTACTCCCCCCACCCCCCCATATTACCTATCGACGCAGGCAACCTTTGCAAAGGGATTCCCTTTGCACAAAATTCTTCGTCATTGCTTCTCACCACCAATGCGTCACTGAGGGTCGGATACACATCTAAATGGTCTTATGACAAAAAGGAAATAACATCCATGGAGCTATCCCTCCACTGCAACCTATTTGAGCTCAGGGCAGTCAAGAATACTGTGCCCATTTCTTCTCACTTATCAAAGGGTCACACATGAAAGTCCTAATAGACAACATTATCTGTATGTTCTACATAAACTGACAAGGGGAAGCCGGGCCTCCCTCCCTCTGTGCGAAAGTGATGAGACTATAGAACTGGCACATTTTCCACAATGTCAGTGGCCTACCACCTATGTACACAGAACTAAATGGCAGACAGTCTGTTGCGAGGGCCGTGCTCTTCCCTGATATTAATGGAGGTGCAGGGTCTGGGATGAAGGCTGGGTGCAGAAGGGAGCTTGGGGTAAGGAAGTGGGGTCTGGGAGGGTGTTTGTGTGAAGGAGGTGGCTGTGACCTGGGGTACAGGTCTGGGATGCTGGGGTTTGGGTTATGACCTAAGGCAGGAAGAAGTTGTGACCTGGGTAAAGGGATTGGGATGCAGGGGCTTGGGTTGTGACCATGGGTAGGAGGGAGGTTGTGACCCTGTGGCAGAGAGGACTGGAGTGCAATAGGGAGTGCAGAGGTTTGGGTTGTGATCTAGGGCAGGAGGGGGTTGGGATTGGGGTGCAGGGTCTGGGAAGAGGTATGAGTTCAGGAGGGGGGCAGAGGGTTTGGGTTATGTGGAATAGGGTGCAGAGTTGCTGGGGTGCCAGAGGTTGGCTCTGGCCAGGAGACTTACATAGGTGACTCCTGGCCAGCAGTCCAGCAGGGTTCTCAGGCAGCCTTCCTGCCTACCCTGCCCCTGCAGAAGTCATATGCATTGGGAATAACTGTGAGAGGGAAGGGAAGGGTAAAAAATGTTGTCGTGTGTCGTCGTCGTCTTCTCCCTCCCTTACCTGATTCTGCAAGCTGTCTTCTGACTTGGAGAGTCCACCTAATGGCTATAACAGCTTTTCATCATTCCGTGGAGGGGGTACTCAGTGTTATCACATGTGACCATCCAAAGATTCCTCTAGTATTGTAAACTTCTTCCCATAATCTCCACCCTTTACTCCCACAAAGGACTTAAACCTAGTACTGTCAGGACTGACTCTACCTCCCTTTGAACCCATGGCAAATGGTTTGCTTACTTGCATCTTAAAGAAAATGGCCTTCCTGATAGCCATTACTTTCCCCAGGAGAACATGGGAAATAGCAGCTTTAATTGTACATTCCCCATATTTGGTGTTCTTTGGGGACATGGTAACTCTCAAGCCACATCCAGTATTTGTTCCCTAGGTAACTTCCCTATTTCACATGAACCAATTGATTCACCTTCCAACTTTCTATCCTAAGCCTCTTTGAGACAGCATAGAAGCTATATTACATAGACTAGGACTCTTCTGACGGGGAGTTTATCTGGACAGGAGGAAGGCCTTCAGGAGGTTCCCCAAATTTTTCTCCTCTATTGCAGAATGATCTAAGGCAGGGTTCCCAACCTTTTTCAGTCCCCGTACCCCCTTGGCTTTTAGTAAACCTTCCCGTACCCCCTATTCAATATGAAAGGAAATAAATTCTAGACTCTAGAATCCACAATTTTTTTCACTAACACTACTACTTTTGGAATATTTCAATTAGAATAATCATGTTAATTACCAAATATTCCCCATACCCCCTTGACAAGCTTCTCGTACCCCCTGGGGGGTACGCGTGCCCCAGGTTGGGAACCCCTGATCTAAGGCTTGACCGTATCAGCCCAAAGACTTTTCAAGTGGGTCATGAAATGTATCAGACAATGTTCCAAAGTTTGCAGTATGACTCCTCTGGATACTATTTATACACATTCCACAGATCAAACTCCTCATGTATCACATTCTTCAAGAATATCCCTGTTTCAAAGTACTGTAAAACTATAACAGGGGCATCAGTCCTCACTTTTGCAGCACATTATGCAATCATTGAGGACACCACCTCCAATGCTGCCTTTGTCTCCATGGTGCTGCTCTTTGTAACTGATGCAAATATGAGGTCCCAGCCCTACAGAAGGGATACTGCTTGGCAGTCACCTACCATGGAGCACCCACAGGGTCACTGCTTGAAGTAGTAGTAGTTACTAGGGATGTTCACTATCATGTAACTGAATAGTCATGTAACTGCATGAAATCTTAGTGGTTACATGACTGTTCGATAGTCTCGGGGGGGCAGGGCTGGCAGCTAGTGTGCTCCTGACCCCACTCCTGGGGAGCTCCCTGCAACCTGCGTTGCTGCTGCCTCTGAGGCAGTAGTGTAGGGTGGCAGAGCCAGTCTGCGAAGGGAGCCAGTTTAAAAACCAGCTGTTGCCTCTGAGCTCCCCATGGACAGAGTCTGCCTTTGATAATCAACAGCATGGGGGGTGGAGGCAGGAAGCACCAGGGAACTGGTGCTGGGGAGAACAGTCTTTTAAGAGTGTTCCTGCCCCGCCACTGTAGGAGGCAGCGAGGGGATGGAGCAGATGGGTCCACAGGAGCTGATATGCACTAAGAGCTGGCTTGAAAGCTGGCACCTTTTGCGTATTGGCTCTAGTCTCCCCCCCTCACCTTCTATCCTGCTGCCTCTCTATCAGAGGCCATAGTGTGGGATTGAGGGTCTGGACAGGAGGATCTGGTGCTCATGGGGAGTCTGCTTCTAAGTGAACTTACGGGCACCAGCTCCCACTCTCCCCCTCCCCCCCCCTTCCCAACTTGGTGCCTCTGAGATAAGATTAGATGTGTAACCCTATGGGTGTTCTACAACCCACCCTCCACCCCTCTATTTCAGATTTCTTGTCAATGACTGCATTAGAAAAGGAATGGAGGGTGGCTAGTCTCTTGGCAGGGCATAAGGAGAGATAGTGCACATATTGGCCATAACAGATACTGATCTAATTAATATAATGGTATGATACAAAGCTGAGGTGGGAAAATGTTCTAACTTTTTAAAAAAAGTTTTGATATACCTAGTTAAACAAAATACTCGGTTTTTTTTCCTCATGTGTTTCAGAATTGTACAGTGAATCCTAAAGAAAGTATTCTGGCAAGAGTGGAAAACCTTGGGAACATCTTCAAAGAGAAATTTGCTGAAGCAGTTGGACAGGGATGTGCTGAAATTGGCTCACAGGCAACTAACATTTTAATTTTATATGATTCATTTGATTATTGTCAATATTAGCTAAATGTGAGGCAAAGTGTACTTACTAGCCTTTTACTGTGGAGTTTGGGAATGATAAAATAATACTTTCTCAACTTGGGAAACTGAGCATGTGACTCTGGCAAGGCTCTGAGGCTATTTGACAAAAAATTCAACATCTATAAGAAGGTCTAGAAAGAAAAGAGGCATATGCTTAACATTTTAAAATTAATGTTACTTTTATAACACAGAAAATTACCAAGTATTTTAACATAGTTGAAATCACACTTACCTAGCTATCCATTAAACTACCCTCTTGAATAGGATTACTGCGCCTTTACATGGACCTAGTGGCCTGTTTGCCTTTCAGTGACTTGCATAACAATTTCACCCAGCTTAGAAGCTCAATATCTTCCATCTGTCAGCTCTGCTATCTCATCATAGCTACTGAAAATGGACCTTTGCACTTTGACTTAAACATCTTGCAACTTCTGTCATGATCCCCCGTAATCCTTGTGAACTTCACTATTGGCCAAGTTGGCTGGGACAAATCTGATTTCCTTTGAGTGGTTCTAGCATGCACATTCTCACCCAGCTTAGAAGCTCAATATCTTCCATCTGTCAGCTCTGCTATCTCATCATAGCTACTGAAAATGGACCTTTGCACTTTGACTTAAACATCTTGCAACTTCTGTCATGATCCCCCGTAATCCTTGTGAACTTCACTATTGGCCAAGTTGGCTGGGACAAATCTGATTTCCTTTGAGTGGTTCTAGCATGCACATTCTTTCTAAAGGATTGAAGTGTATTTTAGCTTTGTCATTGAAATCTGACAGTGATCTTATACAGGCAGTCCCCGACTTATGCGGATCCGACTTACGTCGGATCTGCACTTACGAACGGGGCTTTTCTTGCCCTGGAGCTCACGGGCGGCAGGTTGCCGCCCGTGTCCTCCGGGGCGAGAAAAGCTTCTCCCGGTCTCCCTGGTCTGCTGAGGGGGGGGGTCCAGCAAAGCCGCTGGACACCCCCCAGCAGACCAGGGGGACAGGAGCAAAGCCGCCCA